CTTGCCTAGGCACTAAAGGGGGACTTATATCACAAAACGGGTAAAAGTTAGTCATGATGTTTATAATTTTAATGTGTTTTCCGTGTAAAGGACTATTCTTCTGTGGTCTGCTCACCCTTCTGGATCTCACAGGAACCATCGAAAGGTTGTCAGTGACTTTTCAGGACATGGATGACTATTTCTAGGGAAACCTGCCTAGAGCCTCCTTCCTTGTGTTGGTCTAGATTGCACAGCATTTGACAGATATCATGGTTGGTGTTTTTGTAGACTTTTTACTGATTCATTTGGCAGTGAGAGGATCTGCCTCTGGAGAAGAGCCAGCATACATCTGTTACTCTGCTCTCTCCTAATGTTTCCTATCAGATGATCATGTTTACTTTGTGAAACTTTTTAGGAATAGTGTATCTTTTTAAATGAAAATCATGGGAAGCTGTTGGTTGGGATTGGGCTTCTGTTCTAGACTAGACTAAGAAAATCAAGATGGAGTCACTTTTGCTATGGTGCCGCATGATCAACCCAAAGAGTTTTGAGCAAGCATGCAGGTCTTTAGGCAGGGCTCGTTTTCTTTGAGAACGGGAGATTCTAGTCTATTTGAGAAAGTGTCCTCTTTGGTTTAAGTCTTCTTAAAAAATTTAACCAGAATGAATGAAATTTCAGTAGTCATATTTTTAAATCAGCTGACTGACCTCTGTGTCCCTCTGTCTTAAGCCCATCATTCTGCATTTCCTGGGGGAACTCTCATCCTATTTTACAGAACAGGGTCTGCCCTACTCAGCAGTTTCTCACAAAAGTCAAGTTGATCTACATAATGTTATCTCTTGATAATGAGTAGCACCCTGGTGTTACTTGATATTTTAAGTTTACATTCTACTCCACTTCCTCTTCCGCCTCTGTCACTACCGAGGAGAGAGTGGCTCTCTTGCACAACCCGCCGTCCCACCCACACGGAAACACACTTCCTGCCCTCCAAAAACATTTATAATAGTAGCAAGATTGTTCCTTATTATTTACATTAGTGTGATGCTATGGGTATTATTTATATAGCCTGGCTCAGGATATACTGTGGTTGCTTTTGTATGCCTTTTCTGTATGATTCTCTGGAATTAATTAGTTTTATTTCCTACATTGATTTGTCTAGCTAACTTATGAACTTCCCCGTGCATTCAGTTTCATCTTCTAGAAGTCTTCCCAGGACACTTCTTTCTGACTTTATCCTTTAGACAGGCTGGTCTCTTTGCTTGCTGCTTTCTGTCCTCTGTCTTGGAATTTCTCTTCATTGTGATGGGAGATTGAGAGGTCTTCTTGTCTTTTTCTTGTGTTAGAATCATTGGTTCCAGAACTCTGTGTGTTTATTGCCTTATTTTGGTAGAATACATCATCAGGTAGTTTTCCAGATGAGAAAAGAGGAGGCAAACATTTCAGAACCTTGTGTATATGAATGCTGTATTTATGATCCTATGAATACTGCATCATTTATGATCCTATACCAGTACTGATATTCTGAGTATAGAATTTAAGTTAGGATCTATTTTCTTCTAATGGTGCTTCCTGCATTTTCTCAATTTTTAGCTCCTCCTAAGGAGAAACCCTCTGTTTCTGAGCTGCCAGGATTGCTTGTTGTGATTGCCATTCAGAATTTTGGTCTTTTCTATTATTACCTACCTTCCAGCTTTATGAATGTTCTGTTTATTCCCATAATTTTGAAATTTTATACTGTCTGCTTGACTTTCTGTTTTATTTCTTGGGAGACTGCCTCAGCTTCTGCATTTTTATTTCTACCTTCTTGATTTCCAGTGCACCCCTCCCCCGCAAAAAAACACTGGTTACTTTATTATTTATTTTGGCTATGTCCCAACCTTGTGGCATAACGATAACCGAGGCTATATAGGGAAAAACAATATATTTATTTATCAGGGAAAGAGAGAGTCGCACATACCAGGAGTTAGAAGCGTGGCTGGCTTCCAGGAGAAAAGAGGGAGGCCCCTTTTCCTTTCACTACCTTTTATCTCTACCTTGACCCCGCCCTGTTGGGCGGGTAGCTTTGTGGGGTTCACTCCTACATTGTGGCATATATGTTTGTTTGATATTAAGATCTTTCTGGAATTCTTTGGTGATCCTAAGCCTGATTTTCATTTTGTGCTTGGGGTTGGGCCTTGTACTGGGTCTAACTATGAGGTGATATGTTTGTGGTGTTTCTGGGAGAAACACTCCTGTGCCTGCTTTCAGTGGTGCTAGCTGGGTCTGCTTTGAATCCACCTGGCATGAAAGAGCTGGGTGGACAAAATTAACTTTTATATGCTTAGACCCTTTGACATTAGTTCCTTTGTGGTACCCTGCCTTAGCTCTTCATTGTCTCATGAAGAGAAAATCTCCCCAAAACTCTTTAGTTTTTCCTAGAACTGAGAATGGCTACCTACCTAGACCTATGACACAGGAGAGGGATATGTTTTATGTCTTAAATAGACCTGCAAAAACTTCCCTTGGGGCTGGGCATGTGGTGCATGCCTTGTGAGTTTGAGGCCTGCATGACTTTCACAGAGAAGTCCAGGCCAACCAGAATTGCATAGTGAGAGACTGTCTCACTCACTTCACCTGAAAAACTAATTCCTTCCTTTAGAGTGTTTGACAGATAGCTCAGTTGGTAAAGTCTTTGCCATGAAAGTATCAGGGCTTGGGTTCCATTCACCAAAGTCCATGCAGTGCACATCTGTAATCCAGTGCTGATGAGACAGAAACAGGAAGATCTCTGAAGCTTGTTGGCTAGCCAGCCTAGTGTGTCAGTGAGCTTCTGGTTCAAGGAGACACACTATTCAAAGAGTAAGGTGGAAATCAATTGAGAAAGATAACAGATGTTAACCTCTGGTCTTTGTATGCATCCACATCCATATATGTACACATTCACTCATACACATGAACACACACGCACACACATACACACACACACACACACACATGAACACATACTTCACTTTCTTCTTTACCAACACTTCTAGGGCTACTAGAGTTGGTGACTTAACTCTTATACTTTCTAGAGGTATTCAGGTAGAAAATGGTTTGTTTCTAGGTGTCTATCTATTCCTCTCTTTATTAGACCTACATGTACTGGTCTTCTAGTTTCTAAAACTTTGTTCTCGTCAATCTTTTTCTGTTTTCTACTTACATGTGTTAATTTCTTTTTAAGATTTTATTTATTTCTAAACTTATTATTCTTTTTAAATTGTGTGTGTATTGGGGGATGAGGGGTGGGGGAGGGGGTATGTGCATGTGAGTGCAGGTGAGCATGGAGATCAGAAGAGGGCGTTGGATTTCCTGGAACCACAAAAGGGGTGCTGGGAACAAAACCTGGGTCATCTTCAAGAATAGTACATGCTCTTAACTGCTGAGGTATCTCTTCAGTCCCTCAGCGTGTTGATTTCTTAGTAACAACAAGTAAACAGAATAGCTATTTTTGATGAACTTTCAGGAAGGAAGTGGGTGTATTCAGCCGTCCATCTTTAGCTGAACATTTCCAAGAGGAGAAATATACTTCCTTTATACTCTACAAAGGACAATGACCTTTGTTGACCAGAATTTTCAATTAACCTATGAGTTTTTACAAGGCAGTAAATTTGTGTGGTGTGGAATGGTGGGAAGAGTCCTTCATGTAAAACTAGGAGATTTTTTTTCCTGGTCTTGGTCTGTGATACTTTGGAAAAGATACTTAATTGAACCTTAGCTTTTTAATTTGTGAGGCAAAGGGGATCATGGGAGAGATTCCTTTCAGCTCGCATGGTATGATTCTGTATAAGATTATTATTTCTCAATAAGTCAGATAGGCTGGTTCCCCCTCACCCTGAAGTCGTTAAACAGACATTTTTCTTATCTCTGGTGTAGGAACCTTTTGCTTCTGGAACTGCAGTTAAGTCATGATCTAGCTGTCTTCCAGTGCCTTCCAAAAATCTGTGTACTGTTTGATACCAAAGGAGTTGCTCTATGAATCAGAAGTATACACATTATTCGCATATGTCTAGAGTCTAACTTGCTTCTCCCCTGGTAACCTTTCCTAAGTAGTCATTTTCTTCCCTTCCTGAAAAATGTCTTATAAAAAGATTTCTAGAGAAGTGGAATTTGCATACCGATAGTTTGTTTGCATACCAAACAAAATAAAGTACTTCTCTCTCTTTCATCTATATCTACTTCTATCTCATCTATATCTATCTAGCTCTATATAGTTTTGAGATGGGATTTTATTATGTAGGCTAGGTTTGGTTTGAGTCATATGATCTTCCCGCCTCAACCTCTTGAGTGTTGTTATTTACAAGTATACACCAAAATGCACGGGCCAAAATTGTAATATAGCAAGAGGATCAACTTAGATGTAACAAGAATAGATTTTCTTTGATTTCTCAGTTATGATGCATATGGACTAATGGGTCCAGGTGGCAACTGTTTATCAAGAGGCTACTTTAAGCACCAAGTGTGGTAAAAAGAGGCACAAGGCTTCAGACTCTTCCTTTAAGATAGTGGCTCATAGTTCTACCTGCACACAGAATTGTGATGTCCAGACCCCATTCCAGACCTAAAAAATATTAAAGAAAAGTGGACACAGAACCTAGATATCCACATTAAAAATTTATTTCAGTGATTCCAATGTACACCTTAGATAGCTAGGTGAGAAGTTAAGCTTTATACATTGTTATACACATGGAAGAATATGATTAACTTTGTGTTGAATGAGAGAGACTATGGGCCCAGATATTGGAAGATTTCCATTAACTAGAGACACAAGAAAGGGTTGCATCAAGGGGTTGAGTTCTGAGTTGATGTAGTTTTCATAGATGGAGAGAGAGGAGTGGGGTATATGCTATGGACCAGGGAATGAATACTGTGAGGAGTGGCCTTGCTACTTTGACCTTTATTTGGAGTGACTGGGGAAGAGTTGGAGGGAAAAGCAGATGTCAGATTGCAACTGGATTGTGAATATCTTCAGAGTCAGACTAAATGTTGGCTTTATCCTGCAGGTGTTGGGTGACCATAAGGATGTCTGATGAGTGAAATGACCCAATGGAACTTTGAAGACTGATTCGACAGCAAGAAAGGGTATGTAGTTAGAATTAGGCAAGAGCATTGGTAATGGAAGACCAGTTGGGAAGGTGCTGCTGTTGTCCAGCTGTGAGGTTAGGATACTCTGAGATAGGGAAATGACAGTGGAGTTAAATGTAACTGTCTTAGTTAGGGTTTTGTTGCTGTGAAGAGACACCATGACCATGGCAACTCTTATAAAGGAAAGCATTTAATTGGGACAGGCTTACATTTTCAGAGGTTTAGTTCATTACTGTCATACTAAGAAGCATGGCAATGTGCAGGCACACATGGTGCTGGAGAAGAAACTGAGAGTTCTACATCTCCATTGGCAGGCAGCAGGAATTGAACGGAGACACACTTCTTCCTACAATGCCACACATACTTTAACAAGGCTATGCCTCCTAATAAGTGCTACTGCCTATTAACCATAAGAGATATTTGTATAGCATTTTCATATTATCTATGTCTCATTTAAGCCTCACTAACCTTGTATTCCCCACCATACCTTCTAAATGAAGGGGTGGATGTTTAGAGGTTATACTGTTGAAGAAACCCTCATAAAAGTCAGAGGAGCCCAAGTGGCTGATGGTCATTGTGAAGAGAGAGTAGTTATAGTAGAACACTAAAGTTATCAGGTTGGAAGAGGGCATGGTGGAATTCCTTAGTAGCTCAGTATCCCTTCACTGGCCACAATATCAAGTTGAATATGCTTTAGGAGACTCCTTTTATTTCTGTGGTTTGATATGTGATTACTTCTTGAAAGGGCACAGACGAGGCAAGGGAAGGAAATTCAGCTTGCCTCAGGGAAGAACCTGCAGGCCTCTTCTGAGTACCTTTGGGTTCTCAAACAGTTGAGAATTAAATTTGGTTGAATCCTTCTTCCTTCTTCCCTCCCTCCCTCCCTCCCTCCTTCCTTCAAGTCTCCCCTCCCCTTCCTTCCCCTTCCCACCTCCCCCTTCCCTCCTCTCCCCTCCCTTCCCCTTCTCACCTCCCCCTTCCCTCCTCTCCCCTCCCTTCCCCTTCCCCCTCCCCCTCTCCTCCTCTCCCCTCCCCTTCCCTTCTCTCCCCTCCCCTCCCCTCTTTCTTCCCCTCTCCTTTCCTCCCCTCTTTCTTCCCCTCCCCTCCCCTCCCCTCCCCTCTTTCTCTCTTCCCCCTCCCCCCATTCCTTTATTTCTGTATACCATGGCGGTCAGAAAACAAGTTGTAGGAGTTGTTTCTCCTCTTTCCACTATGGGGGGTTCTGGGGAGTGAGCTCAGGCAGTCTGGTTGGAGGCGAGCCCCTTTACCCATTGGGCCATCTTGCCAGCTCTAGTTTTAAGGTCTAGGTGCAGGACGGAGGATCTTCATATCTCAGTAGGCTGTCCTGAGGAGGGTTAGCCTTGGCTGTAACTCTGACTGGATGGGCTTCTTTTCTCTTGAGGTCTGGATAGGAGCCATGTATGGAGCATAGTAATGCAGATATCAAGGGACATTCCTTTAGCAACAGCTTCCTTTTGACAGCACTCTGATACCAAATCAAGATGACATCCTTACTGAGTCAGAGTGGGAATTGTATCCACTACCATGCTCATTCATCGTTCAAATCAGTTATGCTGTGTGGTCATGTGTTTTACATCCTAAGATCTTGAGGACTAAATGAACAATACAGGCAGTGTAATGCACTTTGCTATCTGAGATACTTGTTCTCTGAAGTCAAATAGCAGAATGTATGAGGGATACTGGAAAAGACAAAGGTCCATCATCATCATGGGAAATCTTCATTAGGGTTTCCTAGAAAAGTGCTGGGCAGGATGGAGGCTGAGCTAAGAGAAGAAAAGCTTTTGGCCTTGGTCACCCCAGTCTGGATACTTAAGACCATCCTGGCTGGAAGGTGAGGAGGGTCTGTATTTGTAATTTAAAATTGCAACAGCATTAGAAAATTAGAGTCATATTCTCACCATTTATTTTCTTACTTTAGAATCCTGGGATCTTCAATGGCAGGAGAAAGAGTGACCAGAAGACCGAGATGAATTTTAACACTATCCTAGAAGAGATTCTTATTAAAAGGTCACAGCAGAAAAAGAAGACATCACCGCTAAACTACAAAGAAAGACTTTTTGTACTTACCAAATCCGTGCTAACCTACTATGAGGGTCGAGCAGAGGTAGGAGACAATCTACTCTGCCACATTTAATGTTGACACCATTGAGTAGGTGATGCTCTCCACTGAGTTAAAGAACTTGAGGTACCGTGTGTTGCCATTTAGACTCGAAAGGTGAAGTTTAGCACGTGATAGAACTCTGCATAAGTCTGTCATTATAGGTTCAGATATTTAGCTATCCATTTGGTGTCAGGCTCCTGAACTAATTAATCTGCCAGAGAAAATACATTCCTGTTTGTTTTAGGTCCTTATAGAATTTGTTATATATGCTGAGCACATGGCTCTCTCCCACAAGCCACCATATTATGTGTCAGAGCCTAAGTTTTGTGTGAACATTTCTTCATTACTTGAAGCTGACAAGTTATTTGGTGGACCATCTATTGAAGTTGATGACAGAGGAATTCTTGAACTCTTGATGCTAAGCGTCTACTGCAGTGTTCTTTGCTGAGGGCAGGGAGATTAAAGAAGCAGTGTCCAGTGAGCTCCTCTGTGGGATGCTAGGCACAGGGAGGAAGGGAGGGGTTTTGGTTAGGGAGCTTCTAGTTTTCCACAAGGAATGTGAATGAGTGGCTATCTCTGGCCCAATTTAAAATCTTGCCATGTTGGACGTGGTATTTTCTACTACTGCCATAGTCTTGTATGCTAGAAATAATTTTGGGTTGTAGAGAATGACTGGGGACTATATTTCTCTTGACAACATGTTATAGCAACTGTGATTTTGGTGCATGCTTAGTGGTCCTGGTATTTGGGTTCAATTGTGCCTATTCTTGGGAGTTTTTCTCAGATGTTGATTTAATGTTTTGCTGTTGTTTTCTTATTCTGTCTTTTGGTTCCCTTCATTTATACAGAAATAGCATTGCTTTTTCCTGAGCAGTCTCAGCTGTTATTTCTACTGTGTCATACCACCATGACCTGTGCTGTGCTTCAGGTTCACACACCGTAGAACCATATTCCTTTAACTCTATACCCCCCCTCCACCCCCCCCGCCAGATGCTGAAACCAAAGCTTTGGGACTTGTGCCTGTAAAACCAGAGCTGAGGCGAGACCATGCTCAGTCTTTTGTTTATTCACTTTAAACACATGTGTATGTGTGCCCAGCACATTAATGTGACTAGTCATGCCAGCTACCTTAGTGCTGTGCTGCATATCCTTTGTTATCCAAGTAGTTCGGAACTCCAGTTTCAGATAAGAATTGTTACGAGACATAAGGGTTATTTTAAAATTGCTAGCAGATTTGGAGGGAAGCATTAGTAAGTTTTTTGCTGCACGGCAATGATCTGTTATAAGTGGACTTTAACATAGTTAGTCGGGGAGAAGAATAGGAATACAGCAATGAGAGTGGTAAAAGGTGGCACTTTACTAACCCCAAACTGCAGACACTGACATGTCAACTTAGAAATGTGGACTGGTACTATTAAAATACAACACGAGGCCAGGCAGGTATCTCAGTGGTTAGCAACACTGACAATTCTTTCAGAGAACCCGTGTTTGATTCTCTGCATCCACAGGAATGCTCACAGCCGGCAGTTACTCTAGTTACTGCCAAATATTTCCTGGGGTTTGTTGGTTCTGTGGATATGGAAGGCTAACTGTGCAAAGTTACAAGTGCCCTCAATGAAAAGACAGGGGAGCCCTTCTTATTTCAGATCCAAGTCCACTCTCTGGAGTGGCTCCAGTTATTGTGAGAATTGGACAGAGCAGAGTGAGGTGGTTGTCTAACTTGTAGAAATCCCTCTTCTAACCCTTATTCAGAGTCATGTCTTTTCTGGCTGTTTCTCACTGGCCCTATGACCCCAGATACTAGCTGTATTCCTTTCCTGACCCTCTCTCCCCAGGTCCTCTAATGTGGGGTGGCATTTTACTTTCTTGTGATTTCTGTTGTCATGGATGGGTTGGCACCTCCTAGTGACTTGCTGCTTGAGCTGATCACAGATTTGTTGCCTCCCATAGTAAATAGTTGCCAGGGTGTAGGGATGTAGCCAGATGTTAGAGTGTGTGTCTAGTATGTGCTTAGCATGTACCAAGCCATCGCTAGATCCCTACCCCTAAATAAACAAATAATTGCTTAGATTGAATTGTTTGGAATTTGAAGATAAGAATCAGAATTCTGGAAATAACCACTAACGATACTGGGAAGACTTCCGTGTGACACCTCTCGGCCCATTTTCTAGAAAATCCCGGAAGCACCTCACACCGGAGTTACTTCCCTGTTTGTGGGCATGTGTCCAGTGCCTGTTTGCAGTGGATGAACCTTCTGCTTTTTTGTCTCTGTTCTTAGAACCACGGCGCAAAAAGCATAGTGAGGAGGGGAGTCCCCGAGAATGTTGAGTTGGAAAGTAATTTTCTAAATAACTTGGGCTACAAACACTGCTGGAATCACTAGAGACATCTAAATTATCTGTAGCTCTTCTGTATTCAAATGAAATCCGGGGAAGAGGCTGTTTGTTGCTTCAATAGTCCTCATGTCCCTTCGTGGCCATTGGATGCTCTGTTAGAACTTGGAATGAATCATGATGACCACCCTTTCTTTACTCTCTGCATCCAACTCCCGCAACACGGTGGCAAAAGCCTTTCCTGAAACAGTTCCTGCCGATTTCACGTACTTGCTTTTCAAAGTGTCCTATCAAAAGTTATGTTTTAGATAGGTCATCAGAAATCCAGTTAAACTATCTCCTGGAAGTCTCATATTGAGAAACTAGTATTTCAGTTTGTACACTGGGCTGCTGGTTTCTTCAGTTTGCCTTTTCTGTCTTTTGGTAGATAATTTGTTCATGTTTGTGCATGCTCTAGTGAACTGGGAAACAGATTTTTGACAATTTATGTTACAAAGTCTTACGGTACCACAGACCATGGCAGTTTCTAAGTGGTGCTGCTTTCTACCTAGGTAGCAGAATGACAGATGGGATAGGCCACTTGATGTTCCTGGGGAGGCTCCATGTGACTTGGGGATGGGAGTCAGGGAAGTGCGAGACTGGAGTTTGTTCAAGATAAATACATACTGGATAATGTAAAGAAAAAGTGTTGAGATGTTGAATAAAAGAGACCAAATAGTATATGAATTTTGCAACAATTATTAGCTAAGGAAGCAGAAAACATTAGATTGGACAGTGGTGCTCTTTGGCTGGTTTGTTGTCTGTAGTACTGAGTAGTGCAGCATGGACACTCCAAATAGTCTATAAAGTCAAAGGGGGTTGATTAGTGTGACAAGTCACCTGCAGCATGCTTTCTTGTCAGACTATCTTTGGATTGCCTGCTCCCAAATAACAACATGGAGACTTATTATTAATTATGAAAATTTGGCCTTTAGCTTAGGCTTTTTTTCCAACTAGCTCTTATAACTTAATTAAACCATATGGTATTCCATGTGGCTCAGTTACCTTTCCTCACTACTGCATGCTCAAGTTGCTCCAAGGCAAAAATGGAACGTGTAGATTCCTCCTTCTCTTCCTCTCTTTCCCTGAAAATCCTGCCTATCCTTTCCTGCTTAGCTATTGGCCATTCAGCTCTTTCTTAAACCAATCAGAAGGCACCATAGGCAGAGACACATCTTTACAGTGTACACAAATATTCTACAGAAATCCCTTGCTCCACCTTCATTCCTAAAGTCAGCAGGAGGACTTCGTAACAGTGCAGGATAGTTTTATGTCAACTTGACATAAACTAAAGTCATTTGAGAGGAGGGACCCCAATTAAGACAAGGCCTCCATAAAATCAGTCTGTAGGCAAACCTGTAGGACATTTCTTAATCAGTGATTGATGGAGGAGGGCCCAGACTATTGTGGGTGGTACCGTCCTAGGTTGGTGGTCCTGGGTTCTGTAATAAGGCAGGCTGAGAAAGTCATGAAGAAGCAAGCAGACAAGCAGCATTCCCCCATGGCCTCTGCATCAGCTCCTGCCTCCAGATTCCTCCCTGTTTGAGCTCCTGCCTTGAATTCCTTAAATGATGGACTATAATGTGGAAGTATAAGCCAAAGAAATCCTTTCCTCCCCAACTTAACTTTTGGTCATCACAGTAATAGTAACCCTAATTAAGTCCCAAGACATCTCTTCCTCACAGTATTCTACAAGTCATTACAGTGGAGGAACACAAAACAGAATCAAAGTTACTAGGCACCAGGTGCAGTACAAATAATGAAGGGTGTGCATGGTTCTCTATACTTGTGATGATTAACATGCCTTGAGGGAAGACTATTACGGATTCAATACCCATGGTGTTTGTCTTGGTGTATACCAAAATAGCAGTTGCTACAAGGAAAGCAAGTGTTTAGCACAAATCATACTCATGGTTGGTTGAGGCACCATGAGCCACCCTGACCAGAGTCCAAGTTGCCAGATACTAGCCAATGGTCAACTTCGTAAGCAGGCCTTTCTAGGATAGCATTCTTAGGCACACTGACTTTTAGAACACTAACTATGTGCCAGCCACAGTACTTTACACTACATGTAAGGCCTTTTTGGTTTCATTTCAGAATGAGGAACCAAGGCAAAGAAAGATAAAAACCTTGCGTAAGGTGTGCCATACTAGAAGTTGCGCATTCTTACAAGAAATTGCAGGGCTGTTTCTTCAAAGCCTACATTTGAAACCACCTTGCCATCCAGCAAAAATTAGGGTAAGAAGAAAGAGAGAAAGAGCGAGTCATTATTGCTCTCTATAGTAAAGATAAAAATTTACTTTAGAGGATATTTTACTATTTTCAGTTATAACTGTTTTGAATTTTCCTTGTATTGAAAAAAAAAAAAGAATCACACTGAACAGTTTTGTTTTCTCCTGTCTGCCTCTAATTGGATGCTCTAAAATAACATTTTCAATTCACGTATGGAGTTTAAAATTATTTTTATGTAGATAATATCTTTTTATGTTTAACTTCATTTTCATCTCCATTTTGACACAAGCACACATCTGATACGAAGTGTTCAAAGTCTTCCAGAGTGGCTCCTGTGCCAGGAGGATAGTGTCCCAGCAAGCAAGCCCCATGGAGACAGGAACTCCTGGGTTTGGCAAT